GTCTGCTATTTCATAGTGCACGTATGCCCTAGCTTCTGTAACCAGGTTCCTGTTGCTAGACATTTAGATGGTTTTCAGTGTTTTGCTATTAAAGACAATGCTATAAGCTTTGTATAGAATATTTTACATTAAAGTATGTCCATAGGGTGAATTCGTAGAAATGGAGTTGCTCGGAAAAAGGAAAATATCGATTTAAATGTGCTTGATTCTATGAGAGAATTTAAGCATTTTTTAAAAAGATTTATTAGAGAGAGAGAGCAGGGGGAGGGGAGAGGGAGAGAACTCCTCAAGCCGACTCCCCACTGAGCACGGAGTCTGATGTGGGGATCGTTTCCAGGACCATGAGATCATGACCTGAGCTGAAATCAAGAGTCACATGCTTAACCGACTGAGCCACCCAGGTGCCCCGAACTTAAGCATTTTTAATGAAAATTTACAGTTCTCAAATTATTTAACATTTTCAATAAATACTGAAAATTTCATTCATGTAAATCCAAAGATGATTTGGCTGTTTTTTAGAGGATTAGTGGATTTTACTATATTTGATGGGCTAAAATAAAAAGGTAAGTGGCCATTGCTTAGGAAGCTTTGCAGTCGCCCAAGGCAAAAACAAAAAAGAAATGAACAAATAAGAAAGACATTGTAACTGACACTAGGTTTCTGGGCTGACAGAAATTTGATGTCCATGGTTTGCAAACATAACATTTTAATCCCCTACATTATCTAAAACCTAATCACACATTTGCTTATTATTTCTGAGCTGGGAGATAGCACTGGTACATTGAACTGTGTGGTAACAAATGTAATCTGGGGATTAGTAAAAGTGAAATCCCTCATGCATTTGACCTCAGAAACCTGACTGGATTTTCTCTATGGTTGGCCTTCACTGGCTACAGTTAACTAAGAGGTTCTATCCACCTTGGTCGTGTCAAAGTACCTTCCCTTCTCTAGAGAAGATCACAGATGTGGTCACAGGGGCTTTGGAAAATGAAACTCCCGGTGAGGGAGAGGCATAAATACCAGAAAGCTGTTTCAGGATTTCATACATCATGTTGTACAGTCCCCGCCCCCCCCCCCTTTTTTTTTTTTGCATTGTATTTTATGGGACTTCATGAAAACATCAAACTACTTGCAATGCTCAATCAAGTGGAAATTGCAAAATTGGTGATTGAATGAATAGTCCCTAAAAGAACCACAAAAGTTTTGACCAGTTTTGAATTTGGTAACTAGAGGGTCTGCGGCAAGTACAATAGTTGTGATTTAAGCCAGGTGTGTTGGACCCTAGGGATTGGGGCTCCTTCTGCTGTTGTGTGGTGTGTGTTAGGTCCAGTCCTTGCAAACCAACACACTTGTAGTGTGGCATCAGGCCTTCACAATTTTCAAATAAATCTTAAACAGTGAAATACTATATTTTAACATCATTCAAAGCTTACTTAAGGTGACAAGATATTTAGCAACATAAGATTTTCAGAGTTGATGGTCTAGAGAGGAAGTTAAATATTTTACGTATTTTTTTAAATTTTTATTTACCTTTCCAAAATCATAGGTATATCTCAAACTTTAATATATTGTAAAATACATATTTTTTCTAATTTTTTAATCTTTATGATTTTATGTGTTGCTTAAAATGTTTACTGTCACTGATGCAAGGAATAACATTTGAATGCTGACTCTGGAGTTACATGTCGTGCATATGTTGTGAGTGCTCAAAATCACAAAAATGCAGTGTTATCTGAAAATAGGTAATTACACCTATTTTAACAAACATTTATGTACTATAAAAAGTTCTTTTTTTCCTTTCTACAAAGTTTCAGTATAATTTTGTTGACTCTTCTATGCTAAAGGCATTTCCAATTATAGCATAAATGCATAAATAAATACGTGGAATTAATTTTCTTCTAATTAAAGCTGAAGTTGTGAATTACTATACTCGATGGAGCAGATAGCATGTGACTTATTGTTCTTTACTGAGGAAAACAAAGCTAGTTTAGCTCATCTACACCATTAGTTCTACAATTTTTAAAGCCTGTGTGTGTGTGCATGCGCTCGTGTGAGTGTGTGCTTATGTATTCATGGAAAACTTTTGAAAGAGTATATGGTATTGTTACAGTCATTACCTCTGGAGTATGGGTGTAGGAGGAAACTTTTCCCTTGATTTTGCATCCTGTTATACTGTTTTAACTTTTTTTTTAATAGGAAAAAGTCAAGATGAAAAGTACTCTTAAAGGTGTTTTCAACAACAATAACAAGAATTATCTAAGTAAATCTTTGCATTTCATATCCTTCTATTTTAATGTACATTGTTCCCATACAGATTCTGTTTAGAATTCGTTTTCTGGATTAAAACCTAGGATTATACAAGAAAGCAAACAAAATAATCAGTTTATTTGGAAGTTTAGTATTATCTTCAGGGCCTTTCCTGCTCTCCTCTATCTCCCTCCCCAGCACTCTTAATCCCTTTTGTATAGTGTCTGCTGACACCAGCTAGGTCTCCAGCACCAACTGGGTGTCCTGCAGCTCGACCAGTTCAGTTCTGACACTCACTGCTGGAGTTAGGGGAAGACCCCACGGGAGGAGGGCTACGTCCCACAAGACTGCCCTCACTTCCTTCAGTCATCAGCTGCAGGTGGAGCGCTCGGGCTACCTACAGCCTGATGAGCTGCCAGTGTGGGGCTTCCACGGCTCCTCCTCAGGTTCGCTAATGTGCTAGAGTGACTCCCAGGACTCAGAAAAGCACTCTACTTACTATTATGGTTCACGTTGATGACTGAACGCCTTCTAGCGCCTCTTCTCTCTGCACAGGTGGGAGTGCTGAACATACTAGCTCCACACTTGGTTTTTCACACGGGCGGCTTTCCTGGCAGCCAGCTCCCTCTTCCTGCAAGAGTCATCTCATTAGCATAAAGTCTTCTGTGCTTGAAAGGGGTTTGTTAGGAATGATAAAGTGCAGCCCTATCACTCAGGAAATTTGTAGGGTTCTAGGAAATCCGTGCCAGGAACCTGGGACAAAGACCAAATAGATATTTTTCATTATACCCCACATGTATACTGACTTTTTACCATGCACTGTTAAAGAAAAAAATCATTCTGACACTTGTTAAAATAGTAAGGAAGACTTTATTCAGGACTATCATGATAGGTGTCAAGACTGTCATTGTGGAGAAGAGAGATCAGGTCCAACTCTGAATACAAGCAAGACAATTGGGGGGTTAGCGCTCAAGAGCATGAAGAGGTAGGTGGGTGGAGGAGGGGAGGCGACAGTACCCCTGGGTTCTTTAGTGGTAACTGAAGCCTCCAGCTGTCAACAGAGCCTCCATTATCCTAAGGTGCCATGAAAATCTTATTTTCTGTCTTCTATGACATAAAAAATGGTGGGAGAGACTGCAGTGGCACACTGTCTTTATAGTCAGACAAACCCGGAGAGAAGTCCTACCTTTGCTATTACTGGCAGAGTAACCTTTCTGAACTTCCTGTCTGCCATCTCTTGTGAAGATTGAATTACGTCATGAATGTGGCACATATTAAATTCTTAAGTATTGCTAGCCCAGTAAGCAAAACAAGTGAATACGTGTGCCCCTTTCTACACCTGATGCCAGGTTTGGGCCTGCTCCATGCTGTGGTTCCCTTCCTTGAACCTGCATATCTTGTGGTCCGTCTGGAAGGAGCAGTGCATGTACACAGTCATTCAGCACTCATTGAAGCACCTGCTTGTGGTACCTCTTACACAGCCAAATGCTCTAGGCAACATCGTGAGGAAACAGCATCTGAAATTTTCCAAGATCTGGAAGGTACACGTGGTGTGTGCTTAGTGGTAGATGTTTGTTGGATGAAGAAACAGATTTTTACCTAAGAGAAATTTATGTTCTGGTGGGAGAGTATCTTGGTCCACTTGGGGTACAATTGCAGAATACCATAGACTGGGGAGCTTATGAACAACAGAAATATATTTCTTACTGTTCTGGAGGCTGGAAGTCCAAGATTAACATGCCTGCATATTTGGTGTCACATGAAGGCCCACTTCCTGGCTCATAGACAACTGTTTTCTTGCTGTGTCCTCTTGTGGGAGGAGGGGTGAAAGAGCTCCATGCGTAGGGTCTCTTTCATAAGGCACTGATCCTTTTCATGAGGGCTCCGCCCTTATGACCCAGTCACCTCCTTAGAGCCCCCACCTCCTGAGACCATCACATCGTGGATTAGGATTTCAGCATGTGAATGGGAGGTTCCAAACATTGTCTGTGACGGAGATACACTGTGGAGATACCACATTCTCTCCAATAGGAGTCATCGTAGAATTCAGTGTAAAGTGTTTTCTGAGCGTCAAGGTGGAAGTGATTGATTCTTTCCTTCCTGCCTCATTGGTGAAAGGGATAGTCACACATAAAAAATAGTATTTGATGTGGCTGAATCTTCAAGGAGATGTGTGATGTTGAAATAATAACATTACAGGCAGAGAAAAGAATGTTAACAAAGACATGAGTGTGTAGTTGATCCACGTCACTTGTGAGGAGGGTAGATTCGGTTGGGGAGGTCAACTGACAGGAGGTTGTCTAGGACTTTTCACGCCATCTTAAAGAATCAGTTCCTGCGGTGTAAGCCTCAGAGAGCCAGGCAGAGCTGATGGATAGGGATGTCAGTACTTTGTAACACTGAACAGAGATTGTTTTCTGGCTTTTCTTAGCTGTTTGAGCAGCCTCTCTCTAGGATTCCAGAAGGCCCCAAGAAACTTATTTTTGTTTGTGTCTGTTTTTTAGTTCATTGTTTCCTCCATTAGCATGGGCTGTTGAGATTTGACTTTGCAGAGCCATGGTACATGCCTTTTTTCTACAGTACTGGTGAAGAATGATTGATCAAGTGGGAAATACGTCATTACTTGAAAAACCCCTATTGATCTGATGGTCTGTGTTTCTGTATTTGATTTCATGCCACAGCAGAGCTAGCAAGAACTCCAACCTCTGAGGTCCTAAGTCATACACTTCATGGTTATCTTTTTTCCTCCACAGAAATAGAAAAGTTTCAAAAAGGAGAAGGCAAGGATGAAGAAAAGTACATCGATGTGGTGATTAATAAGAACATGAAGCTGGGACAGAAAGTGTTAATCCCTGTAAAGCAGTTCCCTAAGGTAAGACAGTGAGGTTTGCAGGTGTGGCAAGCCTAGTCACAAGGGAGCAGATGTTCAGTTTGTATTGTTTGATATTTTCTTGAGGTGTTTTCCCTTAGCATAGCCCTCCCCCACCTCACACCAACACAGATACACTTTTAAAGTTAATTAAGAATTAAAAACTTATTTAGTGATCCTATCTTTTCTGTTTGACTTTAGTGTGAGTTAGGGAGCCCTAAAGAATTATGCTTCTGAATCATCCTAGTGATGTGACTTTGGACAACCTACGTAACTTCTTTCTACTTTAATTTCTTCATTTGTAAGATGAGGTTGGATTTTATATATACATACATAAATACATATATATATGTATGTATATATGAATTAAATAAGATTATCCATGTTAAATGCTTAACATAGGGTGTAAGCACATAAATGTTCAAAATATCTATTCTACTTCTCTGTTCCAGATAAATGTTCTATTTTTTCATTTATTGCAAGTGTTACGTCCTTGAACATGATTACAATAGGTGCTTTAAAGTTTCTATCTGATTCTGAAATCTTGGTCATTTTAGATTTGGCATGACTTGATACACTGATACTCTTTTTATCTTGTTTTTCTTTCTTCTGAGTGCTCATATACATGATTTATGCATACTGTTGTGCATGTTGGTAGTTCATTTCTTTTGATTGCTCACTAGTAGTCCATTAGTTGAATAAGCCACAGTTTATTCATTCACTAGGGCAGTTTTCAATTTGGGGTTATTATAGATTAAATTGCCGTGAACATTTTCATACATTTTGTGATGATATGTTTTTATTTCTTTTGAATAAATACTTAAGATTTAACTTGCTGTGCGTCTAATTTTACGAGAAGTTGCCATACGTCTTCCCAAAGTGATTGTTCCTTGTTGTGTTTCCAGGAGCAGTGCAAACCAGTTGTTGTGGCTCTGTATCCTCATCGGTGTCACTGTTCTCAGTCTGTTGAATTTTTAACCATTCGAATAGTATATTGGTATTTTCCTGTGGTGTTTATTAGCATTTCCCTGATTAGTAATGATGTGATCATTTCATGTACTTACTGGCTGCTCCTGTATCTTCTGTTTTGAAGTGTCTTTTTAGGTCCTTTGCCTATTTGTGAATGGGCTGTATGTCTTCTCATCATTGAGTTGTAGGAGCTTTTTTAAATATTCCAGATATAAGTCCTTTGTTAGATGTGTTCTGTGAGTATTTGGTTCAGTCTGTGGCTTTCCTGATATTTTCTTCATAGTGTCTCGTGATCTGCAGAAGTTTTTAATTTCATGATGTCTGTCTAATATATCAGGTTTTTCTTTCCTTTTATAATTATTACCTTCTGTCAACTAACAAATCTTTGCCAGTTTCAAAGCGATGCTAGAGTTGTTGATAAGTTATAGAGCTGGTCTCCTGTGTTTCTCTAAAAGCTTTACCATTATAGCTTTTACTTTTAGGTTTTTGATACATCTCAGATTGCTTTTTGTGTATGTTGTGATGCAGAGGGTTCAAAATTTATTTTCTCTCCATGTGGCTATCCAGTTTTCCTAGTACCATTTGTTGAAAGATGTCTTCCTCCCACTGATGGTGTTAGCACCTTTGATGAAAATTACATGACTATATAAGTGAGGGTCTATTTTTTGCACGTTCTTCTTTGTTTCATTCATCTGTCTATGGATCGTTATGCCCCTACCATGCTATCTTCATTACTGTAGCTTTTTATAATAAGATTATAATAATAAAATATTTTATTATAATAAAAATTTTTATACTAAGACATGAAGTTAAGTGATGCAGTCCCTTCAACTTTGTCCTTTTTCAAGATTGCTTGGATAGAGGTCCTTTTCAATTCCATGTAAATTTAAGAATAATTTTATTAACTTTCACAAAACATTTTGCTTGGATAATGATTATAGTTGCACTGTATTGATTAATTTATGGAGATAATTACATATTAACAACATCGAATCTTCTCTTCCTTGACATGGTGTATCTTTCCATTTATAGATTTTTAATTTCTGTCAGCAGCATGTTATGCTTTTCAGGGTAAAAGTCTTACTTGCCTTTTGTGAAATTCATTCTTAAATATTTTAGGTTTTTTGATATTATTGTACAATGGATATTTTAAAGTTTTATTTTCTCATTTTTTTCCTTCTAATAGAAAATTTTGTATATTGACCTTATATTCTGCTACCTTGCTAATAAATTCACTTGTTTTCATGAGTTTTATAGATTACTTAGGATATGCTGTGTACACAATCTTATCACCTACATAAATAGTTTACTTCTTTCTCTAATTTTTATGCTTTTTATTTATTTAGCTTGTATTATTGTATTGTGTAATGCTTGAGTACAAGTAGTGAGATTAGGCCTTCTTTCCTTGTTCCCAGAGTGGAAAAATTTAAGAGTGGTAACAGCCAGGGGGTTTTGTAGATGCCCTTTGTTAGGTGGAGGAAGTTCCCTTCTATCTCAGTTTTGCTGAGAGATTTGATGCTGACTGGGTGGTGAATTCCATTGAATGCCTTTTCTGCATCTATTGAAATGAACACAGAAGGTTACTTCTTTACACTGTTAATATAGTGAATTTTATTGATTGATTTGTCTAAATTAAACCAGCTTTGCATTCCTGGGTTAAACCCTACTAATTATCATCTCTTTTATATATTGTTGGGTTCAAATGCTTCTATTTTCATGGACGGTACTGGCCTGTAATTTTTTTCATGTATAACATCTTTGTCAGATTTTGATGTTAGTGTTATGCTGGTTTCATAAAGTGAGGAGTGTTCCTTGCCTTTTTTTTTTTTTTTTAACCCCAAAGAATGTATGTCAATTTGATGCTGTTTCATCCTCAGTATTTGATAGAATTAACCAATGAAGACCTTTGAGCCTTAAGTTTGGTGATGAGGTCAAAGTCTTTAATTGACATGGCACTAATCAGATTTCCTATTTCATCTTTTGTGGTCTCTTCCTCCCTCCCAGAGATTTGTCCATTTCATCGTAATATTTTAGCTATTACTTTTTCACATACTTGTTATGACCCTTTCTCTCTCCGCCTTTAGAGACCAGTTACACGTGTGTTCAACGTTCTGATGTTCTCAGAATAGTTCCTGTGTCTCTTTTCTCTTTTCTCGCCCCCTGCCCTGTTCTTCAGCTTGGACTCTACTTCTGTATCTTCAATTCATGGATTATCTCTAATGTTATCTTTATTTTTCTGTTAAGCCCATTAGATAAATTTTTTATATCAGGTATTATAATGATCTGTTTCAGAATTTATTATTTGATTCATATATAAATATGTGTATGTGAAAAAAATTTTTCTCTGCTGGGATTTTCTGCTTTTTATTCATTACAGGTGTCATATTATTTTGTGTCATTGAGTGCAGATAAAATAGGTGCTTTAAAGTCTCTAATTCTAAAATCCTAGTCATTTTGGATTTGACCTGAATTGATAAACTTTTATCTTGATAGTGAGTCATGGTGTTCCAATTTTTTGTGTGTTAAGTAATTTTGGACTGTATCCTGGGCATAGTGAGTGTTGTGTTGACAAAGCCCTGGATTCTCTTCTGTTTGAGGAATGTTGGTGATTTTGGATTCAGACTGCAGACTTGTTGAGTAGAGTGCAGATCTCAGTTCAGTTCAGTTTTTTTTTTTTATGTTATGTTAATCACCATACATTACATCATTAGTTTTTGATGCAGTGTTCCATGATTCGTTGTTCTTTTCTTAGTTTGACTTCTGCATTTGTTTTTGGCATACAGGGTCCTGGGGTCAGCCAGGGATTTGGGCGGATTTTTACACAAACTTGGAGGCCCTCCGTCTCTGATTCTGCCTTTTCTTGTATCCCTTCCTCACATTTCGGCACTGTGGTTGTCTCAGGTTCTGCCACTCAGGCTAAAAATTCTAAAACCAGTATGTTTGCCCAGGCCCAGTCTTCCAAGTCTTGACTCCCTTCCAGAATCCCCTTGTTTTTGATCATTCTCCAAAGGCTTCAGACAGTTGATTTTTTTGTTTTGTTTAGAGTTCAAGAATTTATAGTTGTTATCTATAGATGGTCATCCTGTTAGGAGCCTACACAGCCATACCTGCAGAACTGAAGACATACGTCTTTAGTAAAGAGAAAACTATGTTGCGAACATTTCATAGACAGACTCATTACTAAACAAAGCATGGCTTACGGAAAGCTTTATAAATTGATCAGTATGCTTGATACACTATATGCACAATATCCAGTAGATAGAAAGATGAACACTGTCCCTGTCCTGAAATAGTTCATAGTCTAGTAGATGATTAATCTGGAATTAATACTTTGTGTGTATGAGTGAGTATGCAAAATACAGTATGTGTACAAAAGTACCTGAAATAAAATCTCAAATACTGTTTTTCACTGTCAGCCTTGATGAGAGTGGGGGAAGACAAATTATAATTTGTGCCTAACGGAGAGCAGAGTCTATTTCAAGTACTTATAATATCTGAAGTAGGCTGCTTAGACATCCACTGCTTTCAGAATGCTGAAAAAAAGATATTTCTGCTTAGCCTAATTGAGCCTGGGAGTTTCAGGCTAGACTTTTGTGAAGGCTAATCTGGCACTTGCGGCAGTTCTAAGAAACAAGCTTTCATGCCGGTGTCAGTGAGTAGACGGAGCTGGAGGAAGCTGGCGATCGGCCCTCCGGAGTGCAGGGCAGGGCGCCGCTGGATGCACAGTTTACCCGAGACTGTATACCTTCAGCTGTTGGGGCAAGAGAGCCCTGCTGTTTGTGAAGCTCCATCCAATAAAAGGATTTCCATTAATTGAATATTTTCTCTTAATGAACCACTTCCAACACTCTTTCAGTGGGTAGCACGGAACATGAATCTTTTAGTATTCAGAGCTAAGACACATTCACTCTCTTGAGTTATATGTCAGGGCTTGTAAAGTGTGAAACTCAAAGTAAACACTGTTTTATGGGGTGTTTTTTAAGATTTCAAGCTGTAGAAATTGCTATCTAGAGTCTTCCTGTGGAGAGACCCCT